TCGCTCCTCCATCCCTCTGCCTCCGGAGCCGGGCAGACCCGGAAAGTCTGCGGCGGGGATTGGAGATGTTTTTTCCCTCCTGGATGTCGGGAGATTAAATGGGATGTATTTACAATTGCCGTTTATCAGCAAGTAAATATCTAGCTCGGCGGGGGAGCAGCAATGTGAAGCCTCCTTGCTTGCTGGAGGTTTTGTGGCTGTTAACCTACAGTTGGTGAGGTGATAATGTGCAAGAGCGAAAAAAAATGAAAGGCAGAGGGAAGAGAAACCCCGATGCTCACGCCCGGCCTCATTACAGCATCGGCACTGGGTTTGGTTAAAATTTGGAGGGTTATTTTTTCCTTTTGGCGTGAGATGCAGAAAGCCTCCCAGTACGCTAGGTGCATCCTCGTGAGGTCTTTTAAGTTTGTCATCTGCCATCATTCAGGTTTCATTGATTCTAGTTGTTTTGTTAAAAAATAACCTACAGGAATCTGAGCTGCACAAATGTTCGTCATCCTAATGTCCTGACACAACCTAAGCGAGGCAGGAGCCGAAAGAGGGGGAGAGGGTGAGGCTATGTGCGTTCCCAGTCAAGGCTGGGAGGAGAGCATCATGTGTCGAAGAACATGAGCAGGAATGGGAGATGGGGGAGGGAGTCTAAATTGTCCTGAGACCCTATTCAATCCAGCAAGGAAGATGGAGGATCTTGCTGCTGCAAAAAAAATGTACGGCAGAAATCTCAGCCAGCTTCTCTCTGACTTGTTACCTCCCTTCAAAAAAAAAAAATAAATAAGCAGAAAAAGAATCAAAGCAAACCCCCATGATTTGCTGTAACGTTTTCCATGATACCTTTATCCCGCACGCTTTACAGTCAGAGAGTCCAGTGATGGAGGTACGTGAGAAGCAGGGAGAAAGGCTGAGGTTTTTCATCACAGGAGGGGGAGAAGTATCAGATCATGTTTGAAAGGAGACTTGTCAGGCTGTGAGGTAGGGAGAAAAAATGCCTGTTCCAGGCAGCTGGACCTGGGGAGGAGGAGGAGGCTCTGGCACCTACGGTTCAGATGCTGGGTGGAAAACCTGCGGAGAGAGGATGTAGACAGATGGGGGAGCGGGGAGGAAGGATGTCTAAGGAAGACCTTGGACCAGCTCCTTGGAGGGCTTTAAAAGGAGGGGGAATTTTGAACGGAATCAGGACACGAGCAAGGATGGAGCGTAGCTAAGCTGAACGTGATGTAGCAGGACTTTTCAGCGTGGAAGAAAACGGAGGTTGAGTTTTCTGACTTGGCAGAGTTTGGGGCAGTTGGTAGGGGGAAGAGATCTTTGTAGCCAGCTCAAGGGGTGATAGCGACTCGGGCAAGGATTGCAGCTGAGGGCATGGGGAGAGACCGTGTGGCTTGCCTTTTCCATAGGTGGTTTCTCTGGTGGGGGCACCTTCTGTTAAAATGTCTTTGTAAATTTCTGTTAATTGTGTTGGAATCTGGCAACAGCAAGGACAGAATATCCATCCCTTGTGAAAATATGTGTGGGGATGAAATAAAGCTTTACCGTGAATGCTCCTGCGCACCCAGCCCCTCTGCATGCATGGAAACAGCAAGTTTGTGCAAACACACCTGCTTGTGTAGCACATTCTTCCTCCTGAGGGGCAATGTGCACACATTGTAAGCGTGGTTCCTGCACAGACATGGCCCAATTCTCATGTTTTCCTCAGTTTACATAATAGCTTATTCTATCAGCCTGGTAGCAGTAGTATTTGACAGCCAACTTTGCAATAGCACGAATTACGATGTGAAGCACAGGGCAGCTGAGACTTAAAACGAGTATGTGCCATGTTTTAGCTTTTCTGTTCACGGCAGCATTCCCGTGACGGAGCAGGCACATACCACAGACATCGCACGCACAAGCGGCGCCATAAAAACGTTATGCACATACACATGCAGAGGACTGATCTCGGGTCAAACATACTCAAAGTGCTCTCTTTGGGAAGAAGCTGAAGCAGCGCCTGCTCGTCGCAGGCAGAGCTTGCACGCTGCTCCCGCACACGCAGATCACACCTGTGCATGCTCCACCTTTCCTCTCTGGGGTCACCTGTTTGAATTCCAGCTGGCCTGGCAGCGCGGGGAAGTTTTGCACCCCCTGGATGGGGATTTGATGCCCTTTCTATTCCAGCTTGGCGCTGGATGGGCTTGAGCCACAAAAGCTTAACAACAGGGAACACTAACGAGCCCCTGCTTGGCATGCTGAGAAGAAAGGCCAAGGGCTGAGTGGGCATAAAAACAGTGGCGTGGAGCCCCCTGGCCAGAGCGTGAGCCTCGGCATGAAGGCTGGGGAGGGAGCGGAGTCTCCGGAGTCGGGAACAAGACGGCAGCGCTGCAGCAAAGGCGCGAGAGGAGACCATGTTGGGGGGAGGAGAGCAGGCTGCTGTTTCCACATCATCTGAAAACTCAACCTGCTGTCAGGACAGAAGGAAGGCTTGTGCATATTTTATGTCACTTTTCTCCGTCTAGGACAAGCTGCTGATCTGATCAGCTATGCGCTTTAAAATCCTTGACGCGCCGATCAGCAAGTATGACTCGAGGCCAATAACCAGCCTTGGCCTCCTGACTCTGCTCCTTTGTGGACAGTCGGTTGCATCCCATGCCGCCCTTCCCCGGAGAGCGCGTGCACAATTAAACCCTGCACGCCGCTCCTCAACTACGGCATGGGATGTGACTAGCTGCATGGAGACGGGGACAGAAAATGGCAACGTGTCAGGGCCGAGGGGGGGGAGGCAGGGAGGGGAGTTGGCCATTTCTTATGCTGTTTGCTGATGATGTCTAGAAGGAGACTAAACGGGTAAATCGGTTTTCCTTTGAACTGGTTGGGCGTTGCTCCAGTCAGCTGCTCTCGCCTCCGAGATCTTCAGCGGCGGCTCAGGAGTTGGTGGGGCTGGCAGTAAACAAAACATATTTCACTCCTTCAGCCTGGATTTTGTGGCGTTGGGGGCTGTCAGACAAGAGGATTTCTCCTCGGCAGTTATTCAGTGCTGGTCCTGCATGGCAGAGACGCTCGAGCCACCGGCATTGCTCCTACCCACTGGAGATGTGAGCACCACTCACTGATTCTCCCTGCCCTACACCTAAGGGTGCAGGCATCTCGGGCATCGTAGTTTTGGTAACAGTCTCGCACACACAAACACATTATTCCTGTGTCCTGTAAGCAAAGTCATTGCCCTAAACACCATTTTGGGACACACGTGGAAGCAAATATTTCTGGTATGTGATGTGGACTTCTGTACATAACTGAGTTAATGTCATCCCTGCTTCACCCTTCACTTGTCCCGTTTGAGAAGCGGCGGTCTCGGACACGGAGGTCTTGCAGAACTTGCGATCCTGACACTGATTTGAGGG